AGTGGGGCCATGATTAAATCTGGGCAGAGGAATTGCGCTGGGGTGAAAACCACCCCCCCCCCGCCGTCACACCGCCTCCGCCGCCGCCTCGGCGCCGCGCTCCATCCGCATGTACCCCGCCACGGTCTGCACGCGGCGCAGCCCGTTCCGCGTGTGCGCCGCGTGGCCCGCCTCCTCGCCCGCCTCCTCGCCCGCCTCCTCGCCCGCCTCCTCGCCGGAGTCGCTCGTGTCCGAGTCGGACGAGGTGCCGCGGCGCGCGCCGCCGCGCGCTCGCGCGCGAGCCTCGCGCCGCACGCGCTTGCGCTCGACGGACCGGATCGACTTTGCGGCCATGCTCTCCGGGATGAGGCTGGCGTTGAGCAGCACGAACGTGTAGCGCTTGATGATGGCGGCCGCGCGCACGAGCACCAACGCCAGCGTGCACACGGCCAGCACCAGCCCGCCGACGCGCAGCCCCGTCACGGGCTGCTTCTGCACGGCCGCCAGGATTACCGCGCTCGTCACGGCCGACAGCAGCACCGTCGCGAAGAAGAGCACAAACTGCACGCACCAGAAGTAGAACGCGTGCGACCCGAACCAGAACATCTTCTCCACGGGGCTGGCCACGCGCGTGAGGCGCGGCACCAGCGTGCGCACCACCCAGGGGTACGTCCGCGCGCGCCCGGCCTTCTCGGCGTGCTCGTGCCCGGCCCGGTTCTCGGCCAGCGTCGCGTTGGTCACGGCCAGCGACTTGTTCTTGATTAGCGCGTTGTGAGCCCCCGCGTCTTTACCACCACCACCACCGCCCCACGCGTCCGAGCTGCTGGCCTCCCCCACCCCCTCGAACGTCACCGCGCTGGAGTGCCCGCGCGAGACGCCGCCTACCTCCAGCTCGTCGAACGCCTGCGCCCTGCCGCCCACGCCCGGCACGCCCACGCCCGGCACGCCCGCCGCCGCGCTCACGATGGGCGACCCGAGGTCCGGGTTCTGGCTGGCCAGCGTGCTCTCGCCGGGCGTGGACGTGGACGTGGTCGTGGTGACCGACGTGCCGGGCGGGGAGGCGCCGGACGCCGCCGCCGCGTCCGCAAAGTACATGCGCGGGTTCTTGGTGAGCTGCCAGTAGATGGAGCGGATCTTATACGAGAGCAGCTCCGTGAGCAGGATGAGGGCCACGCCGCCGACGAGGTAGGCCACGGACTCAACGAGGTCGGTCGAGTCGAAGATGTCCTCGTCGTGGCTTTCGGCGTCGGCTGCGGCGGCGTCGGCGTCCCCGGCGTGGACCACGGCCGTGCGGCTGACGTGCTGGGGCGCGACGCCGCCGAGGCCGCGGCGGACCAAGTCGATGGCGGATGCGATAAGTAGGCCAATGTACAGGGTCCAGTGGGTGTGGACGAGCTTGAGGAAGATGTAGGTCTTGATCTTGCGCAGGAAGGAGAAGAAGCGGAAGGACTCGGGCAGGCGGCGGTAGAAGATGAACTGGAACCGGATGTCGTGGTACGCCATGAGGTCGTGCAGGAAGCGGTAGCGGAAGAGGCGGGCCGGGTGCGGGAGCCACCACTGGACGGCGCGCCAGACGGGGTCGCGGCGGCTGTGCATGCGCAGGCGCAGCGCGGTGAACTCGGCCTTGGACTCGACGTAGGTCGGGACGTCGATGCGCTCCATGGCCTTCCAGTGGGCGGACAGGCGCAGCGAGGCGTACAGCGAGAAGAGGACGACACAGGTGTAGAAGACGGCCAGCAGGAAGATGAAGACGTGCGCAAACTCGAACGAGTGCACGATGTCCGGCCCCGGCTGGAAGATGGTCTGGTACATGATGAACAGGAAGGAGATGAAGCCCAGGATCATGAGCTCCCGGTAGATGATCTTGAGCGCCGGGACTAGGTCCGCGTGGCGCCGGGCCAGCCACGACTCGGTGTGGTGCAGCAAGGCCTCGGAGCCTAGCGAGACGATGACGAGCACGATGAGCAGGAACTCTGCGACGACAAAATTGACCGACGCCATGGCGGGGGCGGGGGGGGGAAGTGACTACTACAGAGGGTGAAGTGACGGGCAGCGGTAGGGGAGGCGGTGGCTCAAATAGAAGGGGAGGGAAGTGGCTATAGAGGGTGAAGTGAAGGGCAGGTGTGAGGGAGGCGGGGCTCAAATAGAAATTGCATGCTTGCTACCGGGCTGGGCGGGGCGGTGGTGTATGCCGGCAGATATTGTTTGGGACTCTACTCTCGCGTCAGCGGAGGGAGCGGGAACCAAACGGAGTGTCGTGAGCGTGACACGCGCGCGGCACTGCCGACTTGACAGTTTGATCCTTCCGATCATACTGTACCACCACCCGACCGCCCGATCACGTCATCTCGTCCACGTCTCCCACGTCTCCCACGTCTCCACGCAGACACGTGTCCACCGCGCCACCTGTCCACGTCCCCACGTGTGCCGCGTCTCTCCCAGCTCAACCGTCCCGCATCCCGCATCCCGCATCCCGCATCCCGCATCCCGCATCCCGCCATCTTCCCCCCCTCCCCGCCCGCCGCCGCGCCGCGCCTCGCCATCGCCCGCCATGCCGCCGCCCGCCTTCCTCGTCGCGCCTCCACCCGCGCATCTCCGCCTCCGCCGCGCCGTCCTTCCCGCCCGCCCGCCTTTCCGCCTGCCCGCCCCCTC